AACTGAGTCTCTCTGACCAAGTGTGGTCATGTGACTGAGTCTCTGACTACGTGTTGCTAAACATCTTCAACATCTGTATCGAATCTGAGGAAACAGTCACAGCTGTCTGAAACCTCTCATTGCATTCTCACATAAATCTTGTCCTGCCATGTTTAAACTCTTGATCAACCTCCTCATGGTACAGAGAGAATCTATATGTGTTTCATAAGGATATGAAGAGTTCTGATCTCTAATAATTAGAATCGGTTTAGGAGAAAATTTCCATCTCTAGAGAACTCGAGAGGTATTCGGTGTTCCTTCGCTTCAATCGCAAATGTATAAACACATTTATGTTAACTCAACCTAAGATTGAATAACTCAAAAGCCGGTATGGCCTACCAAGTTTACATTTTCCGATCCTGGCAATACAATCTTGGCAAAGAAACTGATTGCAGAAGCCAACAAAAGTATACAGTACATATCAAAAAGATAACAAATGTTATCAATCAACACACAATGTTTTTCAACTCTTCAATACATAATTAGTGAACAGATTGCAAAGCAACTTATTGGATACACAATTGTAAAACATTCTCAAAGTACATATGATCCGAGAACGGACCACCAAATACATCAAGCTGAGTTGAGAGGAGCTCTGATTTCGCGAGATTGCTCATCACGGTTCTGGAACACGATCACGTATAGCGCGTAAATTATGCCGGGAATGTATCCTAAGATTGTCAGGACCAAGCAAATCAAGAACTCTACCTGCAAAACAAAATCAGAGTCAAAACTATTTCACAGTCTCTTTTTCATGATCCAAATCAATGTATATATATATACCCATAAGCACTCTAGAGCCTATTTCATCAAAATCCAAATCAATATATATATATACACAAACACTGATGCAAGGAAAATGTTTTATAAAAATCACCAGATTCTAACAAATTAAGCATTAACCTAATTTTTCCAGTGATTTCAAGGGAGATCGGAGACATAATCAAAGTTTCTGAGAATTTTTACGATTCGGTTTTTCAAACTAAAAGCTATGATTCTTCAAGATTCTCAGTAAACAACCATGAAAATTGAAGATCTCTCTAACGACGATTTCTAATTCGAGAGAGAAATCAGAAATGCCAACTTACAGTGCAACAGCCCTTCTTGAGGCAAACACCAAGAGGAGGAAGAAGGATCGCGATTAAGATCTCGCAGAAAACTTCACAGTTACTCGCCATTTTTTGGTTTTTTCCAGAGATTCGATCTGAAGAAATTTACGGAGAAGAAGAAGAAGAACACTGAAAAGTTGCTGGAGCCAATGAAGTAGCAATCCAACGGTTTTATAATTTTTGCGGTCTCAAGTCAACTACGAGATCTGAACCGTTGATTTAATCGTACGGTTTAGAATACATGCCGACATCTCGGCAAATCAACCTTACCTTACCTCCACTCCTTAGATATTTTTCCATCTCGACGTGGATAAGCACACGGAAGTTACGGTGTGACTTACCACACCAGATCAGTTTTAGATATTTTTTTTTACTCTGTGACTCGACCATGTGACTAAAGTGGGCCTAAGAAGGCCTGTTTTCGATTAAATCCGGGACCAAACCAGGCTTTAGAGTGGGTTGAAGCGTTAATGGTTGAAACGTTGTCGTATCAGTAAGGCTTTTGATTAGACAATGATGCTTTGTGTTGTTGCTTAGATGCCAAGCTATAAAGCTTACTCTTTGTTTTAAACCCTAAAGCAAAGCAGAACATGATGATGTACAAAGGAATTTTAATGAAACAAAGAAACAAAAAACATTGGGAATTTAGAGACAAAGACAACGACAAAGTAGAAAGCTTCTACACTGTTTTTAATAATTTAAAGATGGTTAAGACTTAAGAACAAAATGGATAAGTGGTAGAGGAAGCAGAGCATCGAAAATGGTACCAATCACCACGGATTAGCCGGTCTTGACATGCGTAAATTAGCCATAGTGAAGTTTGAATTCGGCTTGTTGATCACCTTCAAATTCTTCAAGCTCGAGGTACATGTGGTTATATTATCGCTCCTCAAGGATATACACCAGTATAAGTCCATGTACTATAGATCCAAACATCCTTCACAAACTAAGGTCAAGACCTTTTACAAGGACTCATTAAATGGGGAATTGACTACATTTTCAACACCTTCAATAGTAGCGTTGATACAATTCATGAAAATGGTGTAACGTGTTAATTTTTTTTTGAGTTAATTTGCTAGATAACAAAGATTTATATGTAAATTAGCAAAATAACAAAAAAGATGGGATTCCCTTGAAAAACAATAGCTTGGTTAGCTAAGGTTTTTGCTATTTGCCTAATTATCCATAAATTCTTTGCTATCAACCCCAATTACTCTTTTTTTTTTCTTATTCCCGCATACTTGTGCTTTTTATTGTTGATGCGGTCTGAGGATACCATTTAGTTCTTTTTTTTTTCACTGAAAGTTGATAGATTTGAACAAAGGCTGAGTTCAGTAATTACATGAGCAAAAGCAGAGTCAAAAACAATCATAAGGCCTAAACAGAGGCACGAAACAGAGGCACGAACAGAGGGTTAACAAGTAGCCTNTGCAACAAAAAATGGTTCAAGCCACGAAGGGGAACCTGACGCCACATATGATTGTAAGCGATTCTCCGATGTCACACTATTCGCTATTTTAAAAGCACCTAAGTTAGTATGACGAGATTCAAAAACCAAACTCCAGTGAGGGATTCGATTAAGTATCCTAAGGATAGAGTTGGATTCGAACTTAAAAGAGGGCCACGCCTCCGGCCGATAAACTGCTCCTACCAAGCTATTATCTTCACAAGCGAAGATCACATTACCAAAACGAAGAGAGGTCAGACTATGAACTGCCCATTGTA